TATATGTTTGATTTCTGTTTTTGAAGTCACTTTGACGGGTATAGACCGATGTTGCTCTTGCCTGCTGTGAACCTGACTTTGGCTTGTACTAACAATAAATGCAGTATTTTATGTTTGAAAAAATATTATATTGCAAATTCTAATAATTAATGTTCAGCTGAGCTAAATTTTACTTTTTTCAAATATTGCAATCATTAGTCATTTGTATGTTTCCAACAATTTATTTAGTCCAGGTGAGGAGACTTTTGGATAAATAGAAGAAACAAAGCAGAAGATAATAGTTAGCCTTTCCAATTTTACTTACTATTTTAAAATGATACACAGAGCCATTGGTTTTGTAGCCTACCTGGAGATGAAGAACTTGGAGACTCTCAGGCAGTGGCAATGGAATGTGATCCAGGTTATTGTCAGTGATGTAAAGATATTGCAGTTCATGCAGATCCTGGAGGATGAAGGAGAAAAGCAGGGAAAGAAATGTATGCATGTTAGAAATTTTTGAAAGTCTAGCAAGTAATTCTGAAATCCATCACTGCAATAAGCAACATTGGGTACTGACTCATTTTGTTTCAGCATGGTGTGGATGAAAAGGCAGAAATTGGAAGATAACCATAGACTTTCACTTACACAGGCTGAGGCCTATTACTGTTAGAGATCAGCTGTATGGATTAAAATAAGGGGAAAGTGTCTTTGAAATGTATTTAACTAAAGCCTTCATTTCAGTGATGTTGTTGTAAAGCAAAAAATGTCCAAACTGTTACGTGGAAAGACTTCCTGTATCTAAGCCAAAAATAATCTCTGATATCCTTTTGAAAAGGTAAACCATGAACTCCCTTGGCATGGTGGAAGATGCAGATTGATCTGACAGTGTAGTGAGAACACCTGCAGAAAATCTGATGAGGAGTCAGGTGATGGGCAGAGTATGTGATAACAGTCTCGGAGTGTGCTCTCTACACACTGACTGAATCCCTATCAAGGCCGGATATGCGTATTCTGTTTTGTCAACAATGTCTAGCTGCTTCGTAGCTGCTAGCTACTCAAGGTTAGCACAGCTGAGGTAAGGAAATAGTTCTAGTAGAATTAAGGGGCCCTTATAATACAATAACTTGAGTCCTGCCTGTGCATCCAACCCATATGTCCAGCAACCTCCCATCAGTAACCCCTCCGTGTGGTTCTCGGGGCTCCCTGTGAAGTTTGGAGTGTGAATTCTTTATTAAATCTATCCTATTTAACCCCTCAGAAACCCTGAGTGTCTCTCTATACCACTATCCAACCCTCCCTTTCTCTCCTTGCAGTCACAGATAGCTATAACAATAATAACATATAAACTTGGCCAGGTAGATAAAGCTCAGTAGAATGATCTGATTTTTCCCCTTTTCCACATACAAAAGTTATTATAGTACCTACTTCTCTGAGTGTTGTAGTTCAATTCCTGTTGAAAAAATTCTTTGAGATATCAGGGTGAAAGTGTTTGGAAAATACGGAAAATCAGGATCGAGACCTCTCTTGGCTAAAATTAGGAGAGTGCAGAAGAAAAAGGTGGTAGGCCGAGTGTAAATTTGGGAGGCTGATTTTTTTTCCCATCCTTCCCATCACCAACACTCACTTTATGCTGGTCTAGGAAAAAGCTTCTAGTTCAGTTACTGCCACCAGTTGCCTCATTACTAAGCTATCTTCCAAAGGAGGAATTCAGAGACAATGGGTTATAACTAGCTTCTTAGAGGCAATTGAATAGTGCATATGAATCAGATCTAACGTATGAATCTAATCTATATTCTATTTAATGTTTCCAACACAGACTAATGACTTGAGATTTCATATGCAGTTAGGGGCAGCACATGACTACTTCTCCCAGCAGAACTTTTGAGGAAGGATGGTCATTCAGAGGTTCCAGGCTTCTTGATGTTCAAGGTGGGAAGAAAGTATATACATTTAATGCATACCTTAGAAAGTTCCCACATAGCTACATGGCAGAGTGGACGTGAAGAAAGGGCATCCATAACTTTGCCTTTTAGAAGTCCCTCCTGCCTACTTGTAAGGAGAGATCAAGCAGCTCTCTGAAGTCTGTCCTCCTGAGTATTTCTAGTAATGTGAGCAGCAGCTGGTGCATAGCTACAGCGTGCCATAGTGTGCTGCCTCGTGTGAATCTTTGTGCCAAAGAAGAAATGGTGTTCTCATTATCCAGCTGATAGAGGAAGACGGAGGAGCACTATCTTTATAGCCTTCCTGGCAGCCAGCACAGTTGTAGTGACTGTAACCTTAATGACTAAGTATAAACGAACACTTGGCTGCTCTTCTGACCACATCTTAGTTTAGTTTGGAGAGAGGAAGAAAAGATTTTTCCATCAAACCCAGACTTACTTTAAATGCCTCATTACGTATTCCCCTGCGACCAAGCCTGTTGTTACTAACATCGATGAGTGTCAAAGTGGATGGTAACTCAGGGAGTTGCCTTATTCTGTTTTCACGGAGCACAAGCTCCTGGAGTTGGGGCAGTCTCCGGAAGGCATCTTCATGGATCTCTGATATAAAGTTTGCAGTCAAATCGATCCTCTTTAAATTGCCTGCGGAGAAATTTGATACAGTAGCATGTCAAGAGGTATTTCTTGAAAGTTTTAAAAAATAAAAAGGTGAATAGTTTATTTAAATTACAAGTGAAGAGTCTTCAATCATCAAATCTATTCCTAGCTCCCTGTGTGATAGCTGTCTCTTTTTATTTAGTGCAATAATCCACATTTGAATGGAAGGGAAACATCTCCCCCTCTATTCTTGTTTCTAAGGAAGGGAAACATCTCCCCCTCTATTCTTGTTTATTCTTATACATCTTTCAGTGAAAGATTTCAAACTCAAAGATTTTATAATTTGTATGTATTCTGGGAATATTTTAAATTCGTTTCCCTTGGGAAAATAACAGTCAAAGAGAATTAGATATATTCTCTAGAAAACTTATCCTACGTATTTCTTTACTGTCAACGTTGCCCTACTGAAGTATAATGTAAGAAATTGGATACATTGACTTTTTGTTTTATTATACTCATCTTTCCAATCAAAAAAAACAAAATGAAACTTATTTTTAGAAAAGAGAATAATGTATGAATATCAGTGCATTAGCGTGCATTAATTTCAAGTGCATTAGTGTCTTACTTCTAATTTCCACCCAAAACATTTTTCATGGTCAGTTTATTTTGTTTTATTACTTTACCATCAGTTTATTTTGTCTTAAATAACTTTTCTCCCTCTTTAATGTTTATTCTCTTTGTTTTGTTTATATATGACAATCGTGTCCCTTCCCCGTCTTCATCTTACTAGGCTGAGCAACCTAGCTCCTGGTTGTTTTCTTTCATGAGAGAATCTTTCAGTTTCATTGATCTATCATAGTAGTCTTTCTTTGCACTGATTCCAGTTTGGTTGCAGCTGACTCAAACTTCTCATAATATTCAGATAGGATCTTGCATGTACTTTTCACAATAGCCTATTTCAAATGAGATCGTATGGGTACCTTTTAAAGTGTCCTATACTTTTTATCATTAAATCAGTAAGCATTAACTACATAAAGTTAGGTCTGAAATACAAAACAAAGAATGTGGTTTCATTTTTAGAATGGCCTGTAGAGTAGTTCCTATTAAAACAGTGAGATGGTTAATACTTTCTAAAAATTAGACATCTTTGAGGAATCTCAAGTAGGAAACACAAAAATAGAAAAGACAATGTCCCCAAGCCACTTCCAATTCTGGCTGGTTTAAGCCATGAACGATTTAGGATTAGAAAATGTTTCTGGAAATATTTTCCTCCTTTCAATTTACTTAAGATTTCCCTAGATAATTCTAGAGTAAACCAATGACAATGTATTTATATAAATGTAAAAGTCCTTTCACCCAGATACTCTGCTAACTTTGCTAATATTTGAATATACATCTACCTGTCTTGTTTAGACAGAGAGTGCTTTCTAAAATGCTGCAAATATTCTATGATTTTTTTTAATCTCCTAATATTAATTATAAGTAGCAGCAAAAACAATCTTTGTTTTTACTAATTCTAAAATTTTTCTGGGAAGCTATATTCAAACTACTGACCTTTATCTTCAAAAGCAGCAAAGAATTTTTCCATGTTCATTTATGTGTATAATCCTACTGGGATTATACACAAACATTATATAGAGTGAATCACTATGCCTTAGATTAGTATAAACCAGAATAATAGAAATTAAGCATAATTGCATCAATGCTATCATCCATACTCAAGTTAGCAAAGTCATTCCTGTTGATCCTTCTGATTCTATTGTAGCGGGAGTAGAAGTACATGGTTTTCTTAGGCAATGGTGGAACAGCAGCAAGTTCACGATCATCACAGTAGACTGTGGTCCCTAGGCATGTACACAAAAGACAAGTTGGAAGGCCTACGAAAGAATTTAAAGGAAAAAAGTTAGTTTTGTATGAAAAAAAACACACAAAAAGAATACATAAATTGCTATCACAAAACGCTTGGCAAAGCACAGAATGGTAGGACTTTGTAGATGATCGAGTTCACTCCCCTTCTGTTTTGATCACCGTATCATACACTTGTACTGACAAAGTGATTAAATTCTTTCGTAAAACTGGTTACTTTTTTCTGCCTATGTTTTTTTAGAAGGTTGTTCAACTTACTTGTTCTAGTACAGTGTTTCTCAGACTATAACAATAGAATATTAGTTGGCAGGAGCCAGACAAATTCAGTATCCCCCTAAGCTGGCAACTATTTGCTTCCATCTCGATGGGGAAATGACATCTGGTGGTAATGACTGACTGTAAGAGATTACTCTAATCAGGGATCAGTTAACTACCTTTAGTTGCTGGCAATTCAGTTTCCTGTAAGTAGGGGAACATAATTTTAGATGTATCCCACTCTTCTGTGCGGAGGAACTGAACTGCCAGCAACTGAGGGTAACACACAAAGAAGTCAAGAAGTGCACAAATGCTTTTTAAAAGACTTGAGAAATGCTGTGATAGTTAGACATCAACTTCCAATACTCAGCCTAATTTTCTTCATGGACAGCTCATACTCAGTTGTTCAAATACCAGCCTTGTTCTCTAAGTTAGATAGATGCCACCTGATGGGCTCACTAGCCTTTATCTGCACCTGTTTCAATTTGTACTTTTTTTTTTTATTTTAATAGGAGTGATCAGCATTGAACTTCAGGTGAGAATTTCCCAGCACCACCTTCCTATGTGGAGCTAGTATGATAGCATGGCCTTGATTCCTCTTTCACTTCTTAGACTCTCTTCACTCTCACACTTCTTAAAGAAAAAAAGAACAAGCAGACCTCACAGTCTGTATTATGCAGGAATTCATGGGAGTTGATGTGAACTACTTAAGAGAAACCATGCAAATAGTAAAAACTATTTATATACAGTAGTGTGGTTCGTGAATGCACTCTCACAATTTGATCTTAAGCTTAAGCAGTGTAACAATTATAGATGGTACAAAGGTCTACTAATGCCATTGTTGGTGTGTTCGATTTTGTAGCTATGTTTAATTGAAATCCCTCCCAAGCATTCAACGATGCAGATCTTCTTTTATAAAACTAACCTGAAAAGTAGATAGTGATACTTAGTTTTATACTGTTTGTCCTCAGGGGCTGTAGCTCACTGTAACACTCCAAGGAGAGCGAAGGTGTTAAGTTTTAATGGCATTAGCAAATTAACTTTGATTTTCATGTCTTCTTAAATAGTCACAATCCAGATTTATGTATACAACATGTGTCAGTAAAACAGTCTTTTTTACTGTTTGATTAGAAGAATTAGATATAGGTTCAGTATTTCATTTTCCCACTTTTTGTATGGGTTGTCAGTGTACAATCCCTACATAATATTCAGTGACGCCTGTAGCTGTATAACTCCTTTCTTCCACAGTTAAATTGTATTAAAGAGTCAATCAATCAAAGAATAACGTATGAATGTGTCTATGTGAGGTGTGGAAGGAAATACATCAACATATTTACTGCAAAATTTTTTGAAAAAGAAATATCACAGATAAAGTAAGTAGTGGTAAGAGCTACAGTGACAAAAGAAACAATAAATTCTCGTTAGTAACTTTCTTAGGAGAAAGGAATTAATAAATTAATTACTTCTTATTAGTGTGGAAGGCCATAATTATGCTGACCTTTGTAGCTGCTATTCCACCTTAAGCATTCAGATATGATGATTCTGAAACTCATTATGGTTTCCTAAGTTTAGCTCTATAAATACTACTTCTGAATAATTTGTGAGGAAATGATATTTTTATACAGAGCTGTGGAGACAGAATCGCAATTTCCTTTGCATTGTTTTTAATTAGGTTTTCTGAATCAGAAATTCAACATCAGGAATAATCTCTCTTTCTATCCCTCTGAGCTAAAATAGGTTGAAAGCTATGAGTTAAAAAAACAAGAACACTTGGCTACCACCAGAAGTTTGTGAAAATAAAAAAGCAAGCCACTCCATCTCACTTATAAAATTGTGTGAAGATAGAGAAGTGATTTCCCTGTCTTCACACAATATCATTCCTATGATGATACTATTCAACTTACGTGAGAGTTGTGACATTGACTAGATGGTCCAAACGCTGTCTTGAGTAGGAAATGTCATTAGTTTCAATGTGCGTTGTCTTTTGATGCATTTTTTTCTTTGATTAAGGGTAGAAATCAGCATATCTGTGTCTCATCTTTTAGTGCCATGGAAGTACTTTCCTATTTCATGCTAGATTTTTCTTCTGCTTCTAAGAGATGACTAGTTGCGTGTTCTGGTTAGTTTAATTAAATAGTAGCATGATTCATGGATATAAAATGTGTTTTTCTCGTAGTCGAACTTTTTATCCTTTTCCTTTTTTTTTTTTTCCTTCTCTCTCTGATGTGGCTGTTTGCCTAGGCAATTGTGGCTATATAGTAGATTTGCCTTAATCTGTGTAAAAATGCCAGTTACCAACAGGCAGCAGTAACTAGCTGGAGGACAGTCCTCCAGTGGCAGGCTATATATATAGTGTGTTTTAAGGCAAGACTAAAAAGCCAGTGACCAGAGTACTCTTTTTTTGTGAATCACTACTTGGGCATCCAGGGAAAAACATTTCTGGAGAGATGAGACTTTTCCTGTACTTTCCTTAAATTCCTTTAAAGGTTTTTTTTTAAATTAGCTCCAGGGAGCAGGCCTGACACAGGAAGAAAATAAATTTCCACACCTTGAACCATTCCAACAAATTTAGGCCTAAGTGAATGTAGAGTTCAGGATGTCTGCCTTTTTACAAAATATTGCAACATAGAGCAGCAAGAGAGTTTCTGCTTCTGTCCCTTTTCTGATCTTGGAGGAGTGTTGCTTGTCACCTTTGGCTGGTATAGGCTGAAAAAGCACAGGAATATGGGAAGGGTTCACACAAACGTCAACAAGAAAAATGAACTTGGCTTGGCGTTTCTGAGTCTTGCAGTCTTTTAGCCAGTAACAAGCCAAGAACAGCAGCAACATCTGACATGAAAATATGTTGCTGAAAACAACATGAAGACATAAAAAAGTCTGATTTGGTATGTTACAGTCTTGAGTCTCCGATCCAGCTCTTTAGTCCACACACTAGCTGTTTTGCATTCAGTGCTGTAAAAGGTTGACAGATAAAGAATTCATAATATGTTATATTTATGTGAAATGCTTTGAAACATCTTATGGTTTTCAAAATTAAATGAAATTGCATGGGTTTTTCAGAACTGTCCTGGGAAGTTCTCACTCCCATTTTTATTTGTTTTGACATCATTATATTTTTCTATTTGGTCAAGGCTCTGTAGCAATATGTATAAAAACAAGACTAGGAATGATTCATTTCTCTTCACAAACTTGGAAGCACAAACTCCTTTTTTTCATTTGTCTTCCACAGCACTCAGTTATGCTGCTAAAAGTAGTAAAAATACTCTTCAAGTTCTTCCTGTTGTTATATATTAATTGCCACACAACACAGAGACTCATCACAGCAGTGGATAACTCTAGTGAGCTTCAACTCCAGAATTTGAAGTAGCTGCTAGCAAATGTTAATTATTAGCATAGTGACGTTTGTGGGGTAGAAGGATAATTGTGTTTTAGAATTTTAACTTCCTTTTGAGATGTGGGAAGCTTATATTGGACTAGAGCTAGTCAGAAATGTGGGAAGCTTATATTGGACTAGAGCTAGTCAGAAGAACAGAAAATCAGCTTCATAGGACATTTCTATTTTTTTTCCATTTCATTAGTTTCCTAAGTTTCTAATGTTCGTGGTCAAAAGGTCTTCAACATTTTAATTATGTTTTTATGAACCCATTTATTAAAATCATGTAACAAATTATTATAAAATGAAGATATCTGATAATGATATTGAAATCTATATAAGAAAAATGTAGTGGTAGCATTTGCCAACTATTGGCAATGTTGAAGAAGTAAAATTTTTCTTTGAAAAAATCTCTGTGCGCAGCCATTCTTGTTGTAAAATATTGTGGAAACATTTTGACTAGGTGCCTGTCTGACCTCAGAGCATTCATGATAGACGTGACAGAAATTTATTAAGAGAGGTACAGATTCATAAGCAGGCAAAGCGGGCTCACTCAGCAGTTTCTCTTCTCTACTAACCGTCGTGAGTTTGGGGTCCAAGAACACCAGACCCTTGTGCTGAAGAGCCATCGATTAATTTTGGTGTTGATGCTTCTTCCTCAGGTTCTTCTGTCAATGGCGCAGAAGAATAACTCTCTTGAGTTATAGAGGGTAGAGCCGTCCCAATCTCTGCCTGAGGAAAATTAAGAGGGTACAGGAAATGTTACTGTTTATATCCACCGGCCTCTGTTCCTCTAGCCGTGCTTCATTTTCTACCACTAGAGGTCACATGTGTTCTGAAACTTAGTGCTGTAGCTGCATTTTATCTGGCACCTATAACTAATTTTGACTGTATAAAAATAATTTATGAAACTCCAACAGGTTTATTCATTTTTCTCTCAGATTGTTTAAATGTTTTATTGTATACACACAGGAATGCACACCGCATATACTTCATTAATGACGAGTTGTACTAATCAAATGTTTTTTCCACATTTATTTAAAACTAAACCAGCAAGTTACTTTACCACTACATCTTGATTACCCCATGTTTCTATTTTTTTTTCCCCATCCAGGACAATGAATGACTGTCCTTATAGTACTTTGCACACCTGGGGTGCTGTTTAATTGTTAAATAATACATCCACCCCTCCAGATGTAGTGGGGTGCAGTTAACATTCCTCGTTTATCTAAGGCATCCTTAGCGGTAGGATTTTTAGAACAGTACCTTTCTCCGCAGTGGGAAGGCACTGAGACTGTTAAGCTTTATAAAAGATTTTCCTCCACTGCACCCTTCTAGCACAGCAACATCATAAAACTATTGAATACCTAGTTTTTCAGTTGACCTGGTCCCTATTTACTGCTCACTTTGTTGTTCTAGTGGGGAACTGGTTGTTGAAGTCTCTCACGTTTGTGCCCATAAAATCCAGTTGTAAAAGGTACAGAAAGGAAGTAGATTGCATCTGGACTGGGCAGGTAGTTAGGATTTTTTAAAACAGACTGTTTATGTAGACTATGCAAGTTAAAGGAACTAACATGAGACACTTGTCTTTTCCTATATTCTACTTCTTATGTGAGCTCTTAGCTTAATTATACAATGTTCAGCCAGCAGAGTTTAGTTTTATTTTATTATTCCTGGATGACATTCTCTCTCTTTCTCTCCATATATATATGTATTTCACAACTTTGGGAGCAAATACTTTACACTTTATAACAGGCTCTCTGGATCACATATTGTAACTATATAACATTACTAGCAGTACTATGCATCATGATCCTGGACTTCCCGGGAACATTATCAATGACCATCTAAAACCTACTCTTTGCACAGAAGGAATTTGGTTTAAGTTAGATAGTGGCCATAGGTCCAAATATTTTGTATTACTTAGTTGCACTGAAGACAGAGAATATGGAAGCAATGTAAAACCTCACAGAGTACTCTGAACCTCACAAACTCAGATTTTGACTGGACATTTGTAAGGTTCTTTGTATATTCTTTAATTATACTGGAATAAGCCATAGATACTATTACTTTAAATAGAGTTTGAAGATTAAGTATACCCTGATAGAGTTAGTCGGATCATAACTTTGTAAAATGAATGGTGATCAGGTGAGCAAAAAGAACTTCAGCTGAACTCACTGAATAAACCGTTGGTGTAAATAAGACTAAGGATGAATCTTTTCACTTTGCGCAGAAAAACACACAATGTTCCCACCTGCAGCACTGACAGTAAGACAGCTTAACCAGGAATGGACTTGGGGACAAATCAAAAGAAGACTTTGAGATCAAAGGAAATGGGGACAGATGTTCTCTGAATGGAGGAAGCCTAGAGGGAGAGACACATTCCAGACTTTTATTGACCTAGGGTAGTACTGCACTAAAATATTTGCACATGCTTTCTAGTCCTTCACCAGTTTTATGGAAATCAACTAAAAGTCCCTGTCCTGAACTTTAGAACTTCGAAATCCAAAGAAATTTTGAGACCTATTAAGAGCTTCATGTACATGTTTTTTGTTGAAGTTCTACTGAAAAGTTTGTTCTGGAGAAGACTATTTTCAGGAGACAGGGTAAACGTGCTTCAGATCTAAGATAATGCTCCTTACCCTTGTCATGGGATTTGGGTCATCTACACTGACTGCCAAGCACATCTCTGAATATGTGAAGGCTTACTTTATTAGCTTGGATTTAGTAATTTGCTCTACACTTTGCTTTTTGTTGTTCAGGTGCTCTATGTTGGTTAATCACTGCAGTTGTTGGGTACGAAGGCAGAGATATGAACTTCTAGTAGTTTTGTTTTCTACCCAATAAAGGAAATCAGAAGATAATTACTAGACTGTCATCTCTCACTCTTTTATAACAGGATATTATTTGCTTTTAGGGACACACAATTGAAAGCCTCCCCATACTTTTTCTTTAACAAGGTGCTGAATCTGGCTTCTAGAGAAACTATTCCAAGCAGTGAGCATCAATATCTACTTAGTCTGCTGCACCAGTTATTATGATGATTTTTATGATGTAGCCATTTTTACACTGGAAACTGAGCAGGAGTTCACTGATGCAGGTGCGTGTCAGTCCCAAAACATGAGCAATATTTGCTTGCTATACATAGGATGGATTTGGCCAGTAACCTAGAGGTAAAAGTCTGTTTCATATTTTCAGTCATCTGATCCAGGCAGCTTTCTCTCTTTTACATATTTGATAGATCATGCACAATTGTAACAAGAGAAAGATGTTTCTTAGGCTATATACTGTACAGAATGGTCCTTTGTCTTCCAGATGTTTGTTTGGTTTTGGCAACATGTACTTTTTTTAAAAATTGAGACAAAAATGTTTCTATATCATTTAATGATATTATTCTCTGAATTTTTTTTTTTGTATTGCATCTGATACTCGAAACAATATATTTTTCAAAATATTGCAAAGCAGGAAGGATATTGTAAAGAAATGCAATAAAACATGTTTCTTTTAGCCAACATATGCAAGTCTTCAAAGCACAGTCAGTCTTCCACAGCCAGATAAAATACATGGCACGAGAAAACAGTGAAAAGGAATCAAGTTACCTACCTTTAGCCACCTATGAGGTTCATAGTTACCCTACTCTGCCTTTGAAATCAATTGAGACAAAAGAGAGAATACCCATATAGAATATTAGCTGCTACAAAGTATAAGCAGAGTAATAAGCAGAGTAATATCTTTTCAAAGATTTATACAGAGAGACAACATTTGCCAATGTGGATGGCCAGCTTAGAGATCAGGAAGCAATGAAAATTAAAAACACAGAATCAAAACATATTGATAAGCAATGAAATGCAACTGGTAAGATTTAACTCACCTATCTTTAGCCATCCATGGGCTAGGCATCTAACTGAAGCCGGCCTCCTTTCACTGCCAATGGAGAGAGAAGGGAATCTCTGGAAAACAGCTCCTCCCATGTATCAGACATGCTTCTTTTAGGTACTTGTCTCTCTCCATTGACAGAGAAAAAGGAGGTGAGACAAATGTAAGGGTTTTTAAGATTAGAAAAAATCTGTGAAAAAAATTAGAAAAAATCTGACCTGTGGAAAAAAACTTAAGAAGACAGAGTGCCTACAGGATAGCAGTCAGCAGAGGAGGAGTACAGAATACAGGAACCTGTGTGAGGACCATGAATTCACATAATCTATACAATGTAATAAAACACAGGAGATAAAGAGGTTTAAGGCAGCAAGGAATAAGGCTGGAAGATCAGCAGTTGCCACATTTTACTTCTGAGGTGGTTTCATTCCAGTGGTAGATGTTGATTGTTTTATGTCTAAAAGATTTTGGTAGCCTTTAATATCAAAGTTGATATATTGCATACAATAACTTTGAATGCACAGAGTCCACTGTCTCAATGCTTCTTTTACTACAGAAACTTTGCTTTAAAAATCAAACAGAAGTTTGCAACTTAAAAAGAAACATTATAAATGTGAAGGGACACTTGTACCACAGATTTGTCTGTCAAAAGAAACCAATTCCCCCACAGCTGTTCTGAAACTACCAAAGCTTTCTTTTTACAGGAAAATGTCTAATTATGGAAAAGGATTTTGGTTTCATTTCCTTTCCAAAAGTGGCTCATAATTGTTTCTTTTTCTTTGCATTTAAGGTCTTCTTTTCTCCTTCTATGCTATCTTAAAAATAAATTAATTTGTAAACCAGGGAACCTGAAGGAAATTGTGTGTTAATGAAATAACTGTTTAGAATACAAATTCTGCAGCTCAGATAAGTTGTCATATGCTTGTACAGAATTATATAAACAATAAGTTGTGTGGGGAAAGTAGTATAATAAAATTCAGTGCGAAATGTTGGAGAATTGATTTTACCTACTCACACTCATTTTATCATAGGTTTTAATCATTCACACATTTTTACCCAAGTACTTTCAATTGCCTAGACGTGTGCCCAAGTGGTCTGGCCAGGATAGGATGACTTGTGTTCGGCACAGAGCACAAGGGATACAAGCTATTGACTCCTTATCACACCTCTGGTGTTCATTTTCTTGAGTGGCAATGAAAACTACGGACTGATATTTTATATTCTTTAGGAGGCATCAGCTGTTTTGGGGTAGTCTTTTGCCTCAGAGTCATGGATGCTCCAGCCTCCATAAATCTTAGGCCAGGTTGCTGCCCATTTCCTCCTTCTGAATAAGCTTGTTTTCATGATGAATACCACAGAAAGAAATGTTATATATGTTATGTTACAACCTTGTGTCCTGTCTGCTCATGGTTGGATGCAGGGTCTTTCACTGAGAAGTCATCTATGCTGTAATAATTTCAGAGCACAGGCGCTTTGTTTTTGGCATAAGCAACACATTCCTCAGTTTTGCTGCTGGGACCAGAGTTCTGGTTGGGTATAGTGTCCTTCATTATCAATGCATGCCATTCCTGTAACCCTTTATCCCCACCCCCTTTTTTTAAAATTATTGTATTGTTTCTGCTGGGGCTTACACACACACACACACACACACACACACACACACACACATTTCCCTTCATACTTCATTTTGACCAATCCTAATATTTCTGTTACAGAGCTCTACAACTGTAACTCACTCCTTTAGAAATTAATATCTGTGGCTTCTACCTTGGAAAACTTAGGTAGATTCTGATATTCTTTTAATACAACTTTATTAAGAAACACAAGTAGTCTTTTTATCACCTTCACCACAGAGTTTG